CCCCAAAACCCCAAAACCCCAAAACCCCAAGCAGACGTATAACTTATGAACAAATTTAATGAAATAGTTAGATTTATATCCATCAATTCTTAATAATTCATTAATCATTTAATTAGGTTAGCTTTGAGCTGAGGATCTTTTGATATTTCTACAGATAAAAACTAAAATCTTTCAATTATTTTTTATCCTTAAAACTTATTGATTTTTTCACTGTTTAGGATTGCTATTTTGTGAATTCAAATATGAAAACAACTAATAACATCACCCCTAATAGTTAAATATTTGGTAGTCCAGTTATCAATTCAATCATATAAACAATGTCTTCAACCTAGGAATTCATCATCTTCTGATTGGCTAGTATAGAGTCAATCATTATAGTACCTAAATTAGCTGATAAAATCTTATAACCCAAATTTCTATAGTAAAAAATATCTTGAGTGATTTCACTAGGAATTATATCGTCCCATCTAAAAATTAATTCCCTAGCAATTAAATAAACAGTGATAGATATTAAAATCCACTGACAAATTCCAAGAAATGATAAATTAGAATTGCTTCTCTGTTAAATTCTTGATTGAATTTCATCTTACTTTATTAATCTAAAAAGAAAGAAGTTAATAATCAAAAAATCTTACGCATCAATATTTTTTAGAACTTTCTGATTATTTTCTAAAGTAATTTATGAGTCTTGTTTAATCTTATTAGAAGCAACATCACTTAACTCTTTTAAAAGATTTTGCTTGAAAAGTTCGTTTCCTTTAGCATAGGGAATGACTTTAACTTGCTCAAGGGCCTTGAGATCATTAGTTATTTCCTTGATTTACTTGTCTACAAACTCTATTTGTTCATTAATCTCTTATTAAGACTCAAACATATCGCATTTATTCAAAATTATCCATATTTCTTTGGTCGCTAAATTTTGCTATTTAGCCTGAATGTTATTATTTTAGTTAACTTATGTATCTTATTGCTGTTTGAAGTGAGCTTTAACAATTTTAGCCAACTTTGACTTTCTAAAGTCACAGTCAAACGAATCCAAGACTATGATTACTAAATCAGCAGATTAATTTATCCCCTGAAGTAATATTTTAAGACCCTTTGCATCCTTATACACTTTATCAATTGCCGGCGATTCGACAATTTATAATGCTTCACAAATTTAAGCGTTTTTGTTTGCAAATTCAACATCAGGATACAACTGAACATACACCATCTTTTGAAGATTGACAAAATCTTGATTTTGGAACACACCCTCAAGATATGGAGCGAAATAAGGCACTCTTTAGTCTTTGATAATAGAATTATCATATCCATTTTAGTTTATCTAAAATAAATCTTCTTATTTTTCTTCATACTCAATCAAATCTTGGCTAAAAATCTAATTTATAATAGTCGACTTTCCTACCTAACCATCACCAAGAAGTAAAATAGTAAATTTTTTATTAGGAACAATCATCTTCTGATTAGAAATAGATTGTTATTCTACTACACCATAATTTTTTTCTATCAAAAGCACTTTTTGCTTTATTTCTCTTATATCAATAGAAGTTTATGGGTCTGTTGTATAAAATTTATTTACTTGGTATTGCAATTATTCTAGGGGAGTAGCAAAGTTTAGTCTTTATGATTCGAAATATTCCAACTCTGAAAATTTTGACATTTAAGTTTATTGATAATTATATAAATGATTGTACTTTTACATTTTCTAAGGTACTTTCATAATTTTAACAATGGGGTTTTGGGGTTTTGGGG